CAGAGCAACTGCTGTCGTTTTTCTCTGCTGTGTATTTCAGATCTGAAAGCTGGGTTTGTGAACCTGTAGGTATGTGACAAGTTGAGTCTTGTGGCGATTTCAAGCCCTGCAAAAGTAAATAGACACCTAAAATTTAGGAAGCTTCATGGGTATTTTTTGTATAAATATGTGCTTGGTGCCAGTTTGATATGACAGTTTTTCCAGCTCAAGAGACATTTGTTTTTGTAGGACATACATTGCAGTACATTTCTTTGTCTGAGTTTCTCTGTGTTACAGTGGAGTTAAAACCAATGGAAGCAGATTAAGAAAAGGTATTATCTGCATTTAGTGACACCAGGTAGTGCCTGTGTCTAGGAATCCAGGGTGGATCTGCCCTTGGGTGTGGGAATACTGATGCACAGCAATTTTGGGCACTTCATACAATGTGGAGTAAGAGACCAAAAGGCACCTGCAGTACTTCCCAGAGTGGAAGAGCAGCAGCTTTTCCCATCATCAAGTTTTTCCCAGAACTGCAGCCAATGGAATAATGGGCCTCCACTGCCCTCCAGAGAGGACAAAATGCAACTGGTGCTGGAGTCCCTCTGCTGTGGAGACAGGCTGAGAGCTGGGGCTGTTCAGCCTGGAGAAGAGAGAGCTCCAGGGAGACCTTAGAGCCTAGCACAGTGCCTAAAAGGCATCCTAGAGACCCCCTATATATATATCTAGGAAAGCAAACATATGTTCTCAGAATAACTTATCTTTAGACACCTGCTTTAGGTTCTTGAGTTATTTGAAAGTTAAGGGTACTAAAACCCAAGTGTTTCTCAGACAGCTCTGCATTTGCTTCACTTTTTTTGCTTCCTTTCTCACATCCACTGCCTAACATGTAGAAATATTGTCTTTGTCCTGTGTTTTGACTCTCTTTGCTTGCCCGTGAAAACAGCCTTGACATGCTGTATCTTGAGACATGCTTATTTTGCTAGCAGTATGTCCTGTTCAACTTAGGTGTCAGAAACAATCCTTCCTAAAGGAAAGTGTTAAAGAACATTCATTTATGTTAGGTGAAGGACTAGTGCTCTGGGGCCCTTCTTCTCTAAACAGGAAAAGATCTCTGTACTTTTTCCTCTGCAATGTTGTCTCTTATGAATAGATTCCTACTTTGATTTGTTTAGAGAAAAGTATGTTGCTGAGCTTAAAGGGCTGACTACTTTCTAGGACAGGCCCATTTCCTACTCAAAACCAACTTACTCAAGCTCTCTGCCTTGTGCTGTGGGTAGGGGTGTCATGGCACAAGCCCTTTTCTACCTGAATGCTGAACATAGGAGTGAACATCCTCACATCCATGACTTGTAATTTCAGATGTGAAATGGAGGAGCAGGATTCCATGCCTAAGCTGAAGGCACTCCAGGGATTTTGGTGCCGCTGCTGTGGGCACAGGGCAGGTGCAGGGATGTAAATGTGCTGGGTATCCCCTTAACCAGGGCCAGTGTCATTCTTGACTATTTGAATGTTGATTTGAGGGGGCTGTGCTGGGTGACACAAACAACGGAGATGGTTTTTTTTGCAGTGGAGAGCATTGTGATATTGAGACTGATCCCTGTTTGATCAGTGTCAGGCTTCAGGATCTGGGTTCTTCTGTCCCTTTTTTGCCTATGATCATCATGCAGACCCCTGGCTGTGCTCAGCAGGTCAGGGGACTCAGTGCCCTTTTCAGTCTGGGTGCTGCAACATTCACCCCAGATTCTGGAGAAGTGGAGTTCATTTTCATGCTTCACAGGCATTGAAATCCATGTTGGTTCTTCCAATGGTGTTGTGATGTGTTTTTTAAGTTCCCCAGTTTTCTCCCCAATTTTATATATGCTCCCCCTTTGTTCTGTGTTAAATGGTTCCTCCCCTCACAGTTTTCCCGCCACTGTAGCCCTGACAGTTAAGTTGCCATGGTTATCCCCTTCCCCCTCAGCTACCAATCTTCTATGTTATGTAACTTCTCCTCCCCTATACCACCTTATAAGTAAGTTTTTCCTCCTCCCTGGGCCCAGTCAATCACCCCCCACTCCTCCCAGCTTTCTAGAACTTTCCTCTCTCTGGGGGTCGTGGTTGGCTGGTGTCCCAGGGCCCCTCCTTTGCTTTATGTTTATTTGTTATGTCCACATGTCAGTTATGTTATGTACCTCCCCTCAGATTTTCTTATTGGTTAGCTGGGCACCCTTCCCATCTCCACCCCTTCCCTTTAAAACCTTGTCGCTCCCCCTGTTCCCTGCCACTTGCTGTGGGTTCCTTGCCACACCTGTTGGTTGCTCCTCTGCTGGATGCTCTCAATAAACCGACGTTGAACCCTCACAAGTGGTCGCCTCCTCTTCCGTCCCGTGTAGCGCAAGGTATCCGACTCCGCGATCCAGCCCAGCCTGAGGCCAAGACGCCAAGGGGGGCTGGCTTCCATGTGCAGGGGCGTCGGCCAATCTCACCCCCCTCAGCTAGCCGGACCTTAGGGCCGCGTACGCCCTCGCGCACAATGGCATTGCCCTAAGCATAAACTGATGAGCCCCAGAGTGGTTCAGGTGATGGGAGCAAGAAATCAAATCTTGTACTTTTAAAATGTTCATTTTGGAGAATATGACGTAAAAGGGTAAAAACTGGGACAAGTCCCTGTGCCAGGCTTCCCATCTCATCTGCTTGGGAAAGTGAAGGCTTTCAAAGATGGCACCATGCTGAGTTTCCCCCACACTACAGTGCCCTAAAACTTCCAAATGAATTTAGACCCTGAAAGCTGTGAGGTTTTTCCCAGGCAAGTTGTGTTAAGCTCTGCCGGGCATGGACTGACCATGGAATTTCAGTTAGCACAGGACCTGTCCCATTTGGCCTTGCACATTTCCTTAGGAAGTAACATTCCCTTTTGGAAAGGGAAACGAAATCTTGCGAACCTGAAAAGAATGGCTTACAAACACTTTGAAAAGGAGATATGATCAAATGAAATGCAATTGAAAAAAAACCAAAAAAACCTTGAAAATTGGGAGTTTTAGTGTCCACAACAAAGTGGTCTGGAAGAAAATGAGGTGCAGTGCAAAGGTCAAAAACATGCGAAAACTAAGCTCTCAGATGTTGGAAAAGGCGGTGAAAAAATCAAGGCAGATGACACAACTTTGACGGGAAGATATGAGGGACATGGCAGGGACACCAAAAAAAAATAAAAAAATCAATCTTCACCAAAGTGAATCCCAACAGAAGGCATGGCATGCCATCAAGTGTGGGGACACGGAACAAAGCTTGCCAAAATTGATCCATAAAACTCACAGAAAGAGAAAAGAAGGACTTACAAACACTCTGAAATAGCGATTTGATCAAAGAAATTCAACTGAAGGAAAATAATAAAAAAAAGGGGAGATTTAGTGACTACAAGGAAGTGGTCTGGGAGAAAATGAGCTGCAGTGCCAAGGACCAAAACAGGCCAAAACTAAGCTAACAGATGTTGCAAAAGCAGGGGAAAAAAGCAGGAGGAAGACAAAACTTAGAGGGGAAGATATGAGGGACATAGCATGGATACTTAAAAAAAAAAACAAAAATCAATCTTGGCCAAAGTGACTCTTATCAAAAGGCACAGCATGCCATCAAATGCAGGGACACGGACCAAAGCTTGCCAAAATTGATCCATTCAAATTCCAGAAAGAGAAAAGAAGTACTCACAAACACTCTGATGCTGCCATCCTATTGGAAAGCTCTTGTACCTTCTCGGTGATTTCTCATGGGCATCGCCTCACAACACTGACTCCTTCACAGCCAACAAACTCCATCTCTCTTCAACCAGCTAACCCACTCTTTTGTAGCACTCATGTTCTTATTGGACACAACTGTGGCCCATTAAGGGCAAGCCTGTTCCTAATCTTTGGTGATTAGTACAGCTGCAATTCCTCAGGTGTGAGACTACCTTCTGCACTATCTTTATTTTCTTACATTCTATCCCTCCACACTCTGAAAAGGAGATATGCTGAAAAGAAATGCAATTGAAGGAAAATAAAAAAGAAAATGGGGAGATTTAGTGACTACAAGAAAGCGGTCTGGAAGAAAATGATGTGCAGTGCCAAGGACCAAAACAGGCCAAAACTAATCTCTCAGATGTTGCAAAAGCAGTAGAAAATACCAAGGAGGAAGAAAAACTTTGAGGGGAAGATATGAGGGATGTGGTGTGGATACTTTAAAAAAAAAATAAAAAGAAAGGCTTACAAACACTCTGGAAAGGAGATATAAGGAAGGTCCTGCTTGACCAGCCTGATCTCCATCTGTGATAAACCAACCTCCTTAATGAATGAAGAAAAGGCTGTGGATGTTGTCTACCTGGACTTTAGTAAAGCTTCTGATATTTTCCACAGCATCCTTCTTGAGAAAGTGGCTGCTTATGGCTTGGACAGGTGCATCATTCACTGGGTAAAAACCTGTCTGGATGGCTGGGCCCAGAGAGTGATGGGGAATGGGGATGGTCTCTTCTCCCAGACAACAAGTGATTTGACAAGAGGAAAGAGCCTCAAGTTGCACCAGGTGAGTTTTAGATTGGATATCAGGAAAGATTTCTTCACTGGCAGGGGTTGTCAAGCATTGGAACAGGCTGCCCAGGAAGTGGTGGAGTCACCATCCCTGGAGGTATTTAAATGGTGTGTAGATGTGGTACTTATGGACACAATTTAGTGATGGGCTCAGCAGTGCTGGGTTAATAGTTGGACTCAATGATCTTGTCTCTTCAACATAAACTATTCTGATTCTATGATTCTCTGTCATCATGAAGTTTTCCTGCTTAGAAATATGCCACTGCAATCAGTATCCTGCTGTATTCTTGGTATAGCAGCAGCATATGTAAGCATGGAGTTGGTATTGTTAACCTTTAATTAAGATTAAATAATGAAAAAGGAACTTTACATAATTGAAGGCTTTTGTCCTACTTCATGGAGATAAAACAAAGAAAGCCATTTTGTTTGATGTGATATCAGCTTTAATGTAACCTTTCTGATTAACAAAATTAGACAACAATTAAATAGTGATCAAATCAGTCTTTATTGATTCATCATTTATAAGAAACTTCCTGGAAATGTAAGTGTTGGATCTTTTAACTTACAGTACCACAAGACTAAGCTACCAGCAAAACTGACAGGCTTTATTGCATGATTATTGATGTACGCAGCAGAGCGAGATAACATTCTGACACAAGCCCTTAAAAAGGGTACTGTAATTTTGTTCAACCAAAATTCATATTTAACAAAAAAATATGTTTTTCTGCAAAAATCTTATGCTGCCACATGCAACCCCTTGTTACTTAAGTACATCCTGTTTGGGCACTTTTAAGTTTTTCCAGCGCCTCAAAACAACTTTGTATTTTTCACTTTCAGTTTTGTCAGATAATTTTTTTAAGACTACCCGCATAACTACAGCACTTCCTGTTTCTTTATCTTCACCTATTATGAGATCCAGTGTGTCACCAAGTTTCACCTGGAAACAGAAAGAGAAGATGAGTGATTATAAACATTGCCTGGGGAAATCCCCGCCATGTTCCTTTCTTTCCACTTAATATTCCTATCTCACAGGAGAGGAGGAAGGCAGCCAATACCAGACCTATTATAGATCCTCCAGAGATGAATTTCCAGGAAAGCCGTGGCAGTACACAATTACACGTCTCAGCACCTCCCCTGCCAAGAGCTTCATGCTCCATGTGATACAACCAACACCTAACTCTGTAAAAAAGGTTTCACGTATGTCTTTATTTCCTGTCAACACAGACACAAACCAGCAAAGTGTGAAGTTCTTCCTCCTGCCTTTAAAACAGTTTAAAGTGTTTCAAAGAACAGAATGCTCAGCAAGTGCCTGTGCTCCTCTCAAAAGTCACACAGAAGCAGTACACCTCTCATAAACCAGCCTTAACTCTATGGGATCAGGAATCAAAACTTCTCATCATATTGCCCTTTGATCACAGTAGCCACGATCGAGGATCACCCTCACATAAAGAAAGGGTAGGCAGAAGTAAGTACATGTCTGGTGACCCTTCTGGCTCTCTCCTAACTGTGGTCCTGTGTGCTCTATTACAGGTACAACAACCTTCCCTCAGCTACCCCAGTTTCAATTCCTTTCTATCATCAAACTTCCTCTTTTTCTTTAATCATGTGCCTGCTCCACCAATATCTCAGATTTAATCATTCCTACTCCATCAACCTCACATAGTGGTATCATCACTTCCTTCAGCAACTTAAAATGTTCTGTCGTTGCTGCCTTCTCCTGGCTTTCAGACTTAGATTTGACTCTCCAACCACACAAGTTTCCTGTCTGTCTTAGGGAATAAAGTTTTACCCAGGGAACCATGGTCACACCATCCCCCCAGATGGAAGTGGTGTTAGCAATGCTGTGCATTCACCTTTGCAGAGTGATCTAGAGGGAGAAGATCATGCCTTAGATATTTTCTTGTACTATATTAAAAAAAAAATTTTAAAAGTCTTACAGTTCTACTTTTCTTCCATAGTTTTTCTCCATTCAGCCTGAGTTCATTATTGTAGAATGCGTCTTCTACTTTACTGAAGAAAAACAAGGTTTTATTGCAGTTACAGTGTGCAGCAAACAAAATGCAGTTGTTTCTTTGCAGAAACACAACACCACCATTCATAGGCAAGGCACATTTCTACACCTCTAACTTGTGTGCAAAGGACACTACTTAAGGTCAGGAGAGATTTGAACTGGAAATAAAGAAAAGAGCTTTCACAAATATTAAATGAAATAATAGCATGTAGTTGCTCTGTGCCAGAAAAGCTGTTTCTAGAGATCTGTCTCCTGAATATCCAATAAATACTATCCCCTTTCCTGCACCAGCCAGTTTAGTAATTTGTTAGTGATCAAGTTATACTAACATTCTGTTCCAACAATACAGTGATATCACACTTCTGCAGGTTGCATTAGATCAAACACTGTGATACATTTATAGACTGCACATTTACCTAGTGGACCTGTGAAGCTTATACTTACCAGCCCCTATTTCTCCATTCATTAAATAGTGCATTATTTTACTCCCTCAATCTCAAATTAGACCTTTTCATATTACACAGTACAGTATTTTGCATTTCCTTAATTTTAAATAAATAGGAAGTGATCACAAAATGCCTCCTCAGCAATCTTAGAAATACTACAGATAGGAAAAAGCAAAATCAGGCTGTTTCAAGGGAGGTAAGGTGAAATAAACAGGAACATCCATACATCCAAAACATCTATTTAGAGAGTCAAAAAAGCTACACCAAAAAACCCCCCACAAATACTGAGTTATTCCAGCAGTAAAAACTTATCAAACGTCTAATTTTAGACGTATGACATCTTTCTCAGTAGCAAGTTGTTTCTTCTGTACTTACTTTCTTGCCATGTCTAGACCAGCTTTCAAGATCACGTCATATCGAAGAGACTGCACTACTTTTTCAAGATCCTTGTAATCTTTTACTACATTGGGGTCATTCTCAAATTCATCTTCCAAATTACTTTCATCTTCTTCCTCTTCTTCCTCCTCCTCTTGCACACTTTGTCTGCTCTTTTTAGAGCTTTTGCTGCTTTTGTTCCTCAGAGAAAGTACTGAGATATACTCTGGAGAGAGTCTTAGTGCACTGAGTCTGACTGGGGAAAAACTGAAACATCTGTAGTTTACTGTGCTTGCTTGACAGCTGCAGAATAAGCTTCTCCTCCAAGTGGGATACAGTTTATTTGAGGGAAATTTCTCCCACAGTCCGATCCAGACATTTAGTTTTCTGAAAGTGCTGATGGGGAGTCTGAAGCCAGTCATAGCATAACCTAAAATAAAACAAACATTCATATGTAAAAATGAGCAACTGCTTTGACGGATTGGAAGGATTTCCCTACATATGCCATAACAGTTACTACAGAAAGATGAGTATCCAGTTCCCCATACAGTCATGCATCACCTGAAAGCACAAGGCTTTAGGTGGCTTTATGATCCGACTTTCTCATACACTGGCCAACACTACAAAGAGCTAAGACACCAGATGAGAAACAAATGCAGAAAAGCCCAGCAGAATACTCTGTTTGCAATTCTTTTTCTGGTGTTCAGCATTAACTGTGCAAACACATTTGTGGCGCTTCCCTCCCTACATCTGAAATACAATCACAAAATACACAGTAATGCTGCTATCTGTGTCATAAAAAGCACAGGGATGTCTCTATTTATCATGAGTCATTGTCAATACAAGCAAGTTGCTGAACATTGCAAGCAAGCAAATCCAGAAAAGCTGAAAGCTGCTTAACCTCCGTTTCTTCTGCTTGTACCACAAGACCCCTGCGTGGCAAAACGCTGCACAACATCCCCCCCCGTTTCTCCAGATGGGAACTGGCGACGAGTTAGTGCTCGGCAGAAATAACACGGCTCTGTGCACCGCAACAGGCGACACCAGGAATGACACTGCCAACAGCAGGCTCATATGAAAGCTCCCCGGTGCTGCTGTGCAAAACTGATCAATACAACACTGCTGCTCCTCTCTCTGACCTGGGACAAGTAGGGGCAAACACCTCCAAAACACCTCAGATGTCTTTCAACGCACTCAGAAACTGATTTACAGCCCCTACGAGCTGGGCGCAGCGCTGGCTTTTACTGTGATCTCATATCCACGGAAACACGTGTTTCCTTAGGAGATTAGTCTGGCATCCCCGCACCCCCGTGACCTCTGCCGAAACATTAAATGAGGCGGTATTTGTGGCTGAGAAAAAAAGCCCTGATCAATGACAGCAATTACCGACCAAATAAAAATAACCACACCTCCCCTGTATTTTTCTTGTCTCTAAATATGTGACCTTAAAACATATGACATATAGTTTGAATTGCAGGACGGTACAGAGCGACTGCAGAAGACACAGGCCTCTCCTCAGTTCGGGGGCAAATTCCAACAGTTATTTGGAACTGCAAGAACATGCAAAGAAATATTACTGCAAATATTACTTGCAGAACGTGCAAAGAGATATTATTGCAAATATTGTTTGCAGAACGTGCTAACAAATACTATTGCTTCTTTTTAGCGTTCGACCTTAGTTTGTTCCGCGCAGGCCAGCGGGTACAAGCGGCCCAGGAGGGCGCTGAGCCCGCCCGGCGCAGCAGGGGCGCCCCCTCCGCCCCGCTGGAACCCCCGGGCGGGCAGAGCCGGGCCCGGCACCCCCTGACCCCCGGCGGGGCGCTCGGTGGCGGCGGCACCGGCACCGAGCGGCCCCGGCACCGAGCGGCCCCGCCTTCCCCGGCGGCTGCTCTGGGAGGCCGCAGGGGCCCGGCCGCGGCCCAGCCGCCGCCGGCCGCCGCCGCGACCCTGCCCCGCCGCCTCGGAGCCTTGGCGCGCCCGCCCCGGCGGCGGCGGAGGGCGGCCCGCGGGCCGGCGTTACCTGGGTGCCGGGGCGCCTCGGCCCGGGCCGCGCTGCCGTCCCCGCGCCGCCGCTCGCCCGCCCGCCGGAGGCGGAGCCGGAGCCGCCGCAGCCACGGCTCGGCGCCCTCTGCCGGAACCGGGGCTCGGCGGACCCGCTCGGCGCCCCGGGGCGGAACGGGGCCCGCTCCTTCTCCGCCCCGTGCCCGCCGGTCTGCGAGCCGAAGCGCTTCTCACGGAATCACGGAACGGGCAAGGCTGGGAGGCGCCACATGGTCATCTGGTCCAGCCTCCCTGCTCAAGCAGACTGTTTCAAGGGAGGTACGGTGAAATAAACAGGAATGTCCATACATCCAAAACATATATTTAGAGAGTCAAAAAAGCTACACCAAAAAAAAAACCCCTCCACAAATACTGAGTTATTCCAGCAATAAAAGGTTCAAAAGTTAAATTTTAGATGCATGGCACATCTTTCTAAGTAGCAAGTTGTTTCTTCTGTACTTACTTTCTTGCCATGTCTAGACCAGCTTTCAAGACCACATTATATCGAAGAGACTGCGCTACTTTTTCATCCCAGAGCACAGGGCACAGGATTGTGTCCGGGCAGTTGCTGAGTATCTCCAGTGAAGAGACTCCACAAGCTCTCTGGGCAGCCTGTTCCAGTGCTTGGTTATCCCAACAGTAAAGAAATTCTTCCTCATGTGCTGGTGAAATTTCCTGTGCACCATTTTCTGCCTGTTGCCTTTTGTCCTAATAGTTGGCACCACCAAGAAAAACCTGGCTCCATCCTCTTGGCATCCTCCCTCTAGATATTTGGGGCTGCTTCTCGCCTTCTGCACTCTGTGGTTTGGGAGCAGAGGCTGGAGGGAGCTGGGTGAGAGGCAGGAGGGCAGGAGGCTGAAGCGGGCGTCCTGCCGATCCCTCCTCAGCAAACCGGGAGGCTCCACGGGAGGAGCCCTCTGTGCTTGGGCCACCTCTGCCCTGTCCTCTGCTGGACGACTGGTCCAGCCACTGATGGTCTCCTGCTCCACTGAGATGTGCTGGAGCTGTTTCCCATTATCATTTCCCCAGCTTTCTAGGGAAGTTTTTTTCCTATGTTTTCAGCCCCTCGTGCTCTGACCAAATGCCCAAACCAGTAAAACATTTAAAATCTCTCACTGGGGAAGTCACTTCAGCAGACACACAAGTTTTCCAACCACACATTGATTTGAAGGGCTTGGCCACCACGACAATTTAATCCAAACCCCTCTGTGGGTTACTTTCCTTCACAAAACATCTCCCTCTTTTACTCTGCATCTCCATTACTGGAGGTAATTCATAATTCCTTTTCTGTGGAGCTCAGAAACTAGGAGAGGTCCATCCCCTCTTCTGCCTTCTCCCAGATTTCTCTAGGCTGTGCACCAATCTCTTGGTGCTTCTGATTGCTCCTTTTTCTCAGGATTTGGGGAATTCTCTGTGTCCATACAGAACAGGCACAGAATGCAATCAGATTGGTAGCCTCTTGTAAGTGGCTGCACAAGATTAAGGGTAATTTTGGCAAATGGAAAAGCTCCTCAACTTTACAGTTTTGCTTTAAAATGCTGGCCACCTCACCTGACAGACCAGTCATCCCTTGGAAAAATACTGGCAAATCTGAAAAGTGATATAACTGCAGAACTACTCCTGAACAGCAGCTGTGCAATTAGCATGGGCATTATAAGTGTTTGCTTAATTTTTCACCTGTATAAACTTTGTCATAAAATGTTTGAATGGGAGGTTTTTTTGTCAGGGATATTTGGTAATGGAGCAATTAACGGGCAAAGCTATTTCCCCTCCTTAGAAACTTCACTGGGAAGAAATCTCTGAACACCTTTGTGTCTTTATGTATTTTGAATGTTCCAGTGCTAAGTTCTGTGAGATTCTGACCAATTTCAGTTGAGAATATAGCCTCTAACTTTTTTAGGACTTTTCCCCTATATATCATAAAATATACATACATACTTACTGAGAGGGAGAAAAAAAAGAACAGTAAGAGTAACTTACTTGCATTCGTAGTGGCACATAGTGAGTCAAAACAGAAAAAAATGTCAAGAGGAGCATGGATTCCCTAAGCAGAAATGCTACCTTCTCCAAGGAGTAAAAAACCCCTCAGCCAAAACTCAACAAAAACCACTGCAAACCTGTCTTTCCATACACCCCATTCTCTTCAAATATTTCAGAATTTGAGTTCTCTCATGTAGGATTAATGATCTAACATTGCTGAGAGTGAAGTTAACTTACTCCTTGTAAACCAAAATCTAAGTATTAGTGCCTTTCTATGTTGTTCAGGTATTACACATCCTTATTACCCCTTCATATTGAATGGCAAGGTAAAGAGTGTGTCTGAAGTCACTCTGTCTTTTATATTTTAAAATATGATGATACTGTTGCATCTCACAGAAGCAGAAATTATTCAGATGCAGAGGAAATATGACTTGGTTGTCATGAGCAGGCATCACAAATCTGATTTATCTCATCATTTCGCAACCCCAAACAGAGACATCACCTCTGTCACACTTGCTGAATTTCCTAGTCCAGCTATGAGGGCAACTGTTCCAGTTGTACTGGTTGGAAAGGACATCATGTTATTATTACATCTCAGTCATGAAAGCAGATGCTTACCAAAGTTTTTTGGGATTCCCGCCCCCCCACGCTGCCAGGACTCATTCAGCCCTGGACTGTAGAGGAACTTCAGCGTCTCTCAGGTCTTCTTGTCAGACTCCCTGCGTGCCACAGAGTTGAAGGGTCATGAAAGGGAACTCCCAGCATGGGTCAGTATGTGCACTTTTTAATAAAGAACGATGCAAAAATTAAGTTGAGAATGATTAATCCTGCTTTTAATATATGGGACTGTAATTACAACCAAAATGTTCCGAGGGAGTGAAGACCTGTGTACTTTTTCTCAGTCTACCATTAGATGGCACTGAAAAGCTCCTCTCAAAGCTGTCACGGGCTCAGGCTTCCCGCACGAGAGGCTTTGCTCAAGCTCACTTCAGTCATAGCTATCTCTCTGCAGGATGTTCTTTAGGCTGCTTTCAGATTACTTTTTTTTTTTCCTTTTTTTCTTTAAATATAAAACCTCAGCAACATACAGTCAAAAGTTTCAGTTTCGGTAAGAAACAGTGATCATTTATCTCTGGCATATTCATGGTGGTCTATTTTTTTTTTTTTTTTAATTAGTCTGACCAAATGTGTTCTTGACATGGCTATTCTTATAGAGTTGATTAATTTCTTTTATTTCCAGTGGAGTCATCTCCTCTCTAGGAAGGGTAATTCCTCTCTTGTTTGATTTTCATTTTGTATATTTCACTATACTCCCTATGCCATTCACTCACAAGGAGATTAGTCTTTTAGGTTTGATAGCTCAGAGAGAAAATTCTCAGTAGCTTTTGAGCTGTATGTTTGAACCTGTAATTGGGAATTCCCTCCCCACTGCCTAGGGTTTTTTGTTACCTTTGTTTTCCTGCAAGGTCAGTCAAGTGACAGCACTGGATCTGCTGACACTCATTGCATCTCAAAATAAAGAGACCCATGCTGCCATTTGGGTGCTGTGAGTAGCTCTGACTAACATTCTGCAATGCACATCTCACCAGATCACTTGTCTCTGCAGATTTAGCTCCAGCATTGCGTTGTTGAGACCACACACTTTTTAACTTACAGTGCTTATTTCAAGGTGAGAAGGTGACTGGACAGTGTTCTATGCATATTTATGCTGCCTGGCCAAACAGAGTGTTCCCATACGAGCATCACCTTTAAGTTTGTCCATATTCATTTGAATAATGAGCTTCCTGACTGCTAATTCACCTCTTCCAATGTCACACCTATTGTAACTGCTTAGATGTTCCTTTTTCTTAGTCCATAGCCTAGAGACAATTCCTCTAGTTGGTTACTTGCATTCAATCTGTGACCAAATAATCCTATCATCTGTTTCTCTAAAGCCCCTCTCTGAAAAATAATGCAGCAGAATCTCCCTTTCCAGCTCTTCCAGTGCTGCCTTTTCAGCTGACACGCTGCTCTAAACTTCCCTTTCTCACACATTTGCCCATATAATCTACTGTGCTATCTTTTACTGTAAAATATTGTATTTATTCTCTTTAGAATACCTTTAATGTATTCAGCTCTTATCCCAGCACAGTGAAACCTCTGTTTCTCTCTACTTACCAACTCTTTGTGTTGCCATTTCGTCTCTTGTGGTAACAACTGCATTATGAACTTCTGTCTGTTTTTTTCCTGCAGCCACATTGACATCCTGCAAGAGAATCCCTTGCAAGTTTTCACAAAGCACCTTTACTTGCAGTTTACTTATTCCTTGAAAACCCATCTTAGACATTAAAGATGGTAATTAGGGGAGTAGGGGAAGGTGGATGAATTTCAGGTATTGTTTTGTATTTCTTTAAGTGATGGAGATACAACCACTTGTTAATGTAGCATTCTCTCTTTTTTTCACCATCCTTTTCGCTACCTGGCTAATTTGGCTTTTGTTCTCTTATTATCTTCTAAAGAAAGAGGCTACATTGAGCCATGATAAGAAAGAAGATGGAGGTGGATAATGCAGGTTGCTCTGATTTGCACTGAAGAAGTGATGTGAGGCCACTCCATCAGTCAGAGCATGGTGAACCACCTAAACCAGAAACTCATTGCTGCCTTGCCAGTGAAAACTGGTGTTACATCAGTGGTTAAGCAAGTGGGAGGAAAAAAGTGAGTAACTTCCTTCAGCCAGTCTGGTATTAAATCCAGCTGCACCAAGATTAAAAGCTCTGCAGTTTCACTGCTAATTCTTTCATTTCCCAGTTTGGTGAGAGCTTTGCAATGAGATTTGTTTTGTTGTTTCACCCTCACTTTCTTGTTTGTTAATTGTCTAAAACACAAAAATTTTTTGGTAGGAAAAGTTATCGTGCTGTTTCCTAAGACAGGATTTGAGACTTTCATTCATTCTGTAGTGAACGTGTTCAGATTCTGCTGGTGTTGGTTGCTGCTCTAGGATTTATCTACCTACACCAACAGTGAGTGGCAAATGCAATAAAACCCAAACCAAATCAATTAAGCATTCATTATTTGAACCTTAT